CACCCCAGCCTCAGCTACACTGAGTCAGCCCTGGACCCTGGCCACGCCAGCCACCAACCTGGCCGCAGCACGAACCACCATGCTCTGTGACTCACGTGGCTTCCCGCCTCCACCTCGACTTCCAGCGTCCAGAAAGAGCTCCCTAAAGCAGGTGTCAGACACCACTGCCACCCCAACTAGCAGCTCTCGACAGCCGCCCCCTCACCTGGTCACCAGACCCCAGGAACGGCCCTCCCAGCCCAGCTCCTCCATACCCACCTCAGTCTGCTGGGAGTCGCATCCCCCCATCACCTCCCCCATCCTGGCCTCCCCCTCAGCACTTGGCGTCTGACCCGCGAAGGCAGGGGCTGTGATGGCCTTGGTGACTGACCCCAGGGAGCTCCAGGAAAGGACGGACGAATGATCAAATGAAGGAATGAAGGGACCCATACCCAGCCGCTTCCTCCCCATCCTGCTGGGGAGCCCTCGCCTGGGTCTTGTCCTCTCTCTCCCGCTGGCAGGCCCCATTCGTGGGTTGGATGAGGCTCAGAGAAGGTGTCAGAGTGGGTCAGGAAGGCGGGGGCACAGCCTGGCATTGAGCAGGCCCAGACCCCACCCCATGCTGCAGGGTTCATCTCCACCAGGCCCACAGTCCCAGACACCCCATGCCCACGCTGGCCTGCATTCTTCTTTTCTTATCTTGGTCATTCCAGCCACAAGTTTGTTGTGTTTCTTGATATTTGCAAGAAAACAATTCTTCATTTCACTGGACATTTGTATTTTTTAGACTATTTCATTTGTTATTTTTCTATCATGGATATTTCTATTCTTTTACCAATTTTGGTTTTGTTCTTTTCAGGATTTTTGAGATGCTTTGTTAGGTTGTTTATTTGAAAATTTTGCCTTTAAAAATCTAGTTGCTTCTTACTATACATTTGTTATTATTGCTTTTGCTGTGTTTCTAAGATTTGAGATTTTGTGTCTCCACTATTGTTTGTTTCAAGATAGTTTTAGACTTAACTTCTGATTTCTTCAATGATCTGTTGTTCATTTCACAGTGTGTTGGTTACGGGCCATGTTTTTTGTGTAATTATCCAAACAGAAGAATCTTATTCCTTTGTGGTCAGACATGAATCACTGTTGCTGCTCTGCCACCGTCCCCATGGTCTGCACTTCTTTCTGGCTCTCGCAGCAGAAGCCACCACCGTCACCCTGGAATCACACTGGCTTCACTTCCTCCCCCTCTTCTTGCTGAGCCACTTGCTTCCTAGCACTCTGACCTTTGTCTCTGTCCAGCAGCAGGAGCCCTTCATCCTGGATGGCCTGGTTGCGCCGCTTGGCTTTTCTGCTAGCGGTTACTCCAGGACCCTCCTGATGGTGACCACAGCTCTGCCGCCTTTACCCTGGATCCCGGACTCCCGGGTGCTGTCCCCGACCCTCTTCCTCCCTCACTTCCTAGGGAGAGACAGCTCCTGTGTGATCCCCAAACCTCGCGCTCCAGTAGCTCTGCCTAACTGCAGCCCTGCGATGGGGGAGGCACCTTCACCCCGTGATGGGGGAGGCATCCTTCAGGCAGTGCAGAAGAAGTGGTGAAACAAGGTATGGGTCAGCCTGGCTGGTCAGCTGTCCGGCCGCTTCCACCAGTATCGCAGCACCGACAGAGGCTGGAGGGTGGCCCAGCTGGGTGGCAGAACAGAGCAGGGCGCAGGAGGTCCCAGGCCAGGCCACTGTCTTGTGCCTGACGCCTGGGACGGCAAGCCAACTGAGGGAGCGAACCTGGTCCCTGGGCCACTGTGACCCGCAGCACCTGGCCAACTGCTGCTCAGAAAAGAGGTTTTAAAATCAAAGATGGGGCCGGCGCTGCAGCTCAATAGGCTAATCCTCCGCCTTGCGGCGCTGGCACACAGCGTTCTAGTCCCGGTCAGGGTGCCGGATTCTGTCCCGGTTGCCCTCTTCCAGGCCAGCTCTCTGCTGCCCAGGGAGTGCAGTGGAGGAAAGCCCAAGTGCTTGGGCCCTGCACCCCATGGGAGACCAGGAATAGTACCTGGCTCCTGCCATCGGATCAGCACAGTGCACCGGCCCCAGCGCGCCGGCCGTGGCGGCCATTCGAGGGTGAACCAACGGCAAAGGAAGACCTTTCTCTCTGTCTCTCTCTCTCACTGTCCACTCTGCCTGTCAAAAAAAAAAATCAAAGATGGGAAAATCAGAGAAAGTTACCCTTTCCCACTGCCAGCTTGTTAATGGTATACACGTGAGTGAACAACCAAAAATAAACAGAAAAGCAAACCTAAGTTGCCAGTAACCAAGATCACTCCTACAAAAAAAGAAATGAAAGTAACTTACAGCAGGACTCTGTTTCATCTGATAGAATTCAGAAGCAGGAAAAAAAGCCTTTTAAAAATACAGAGAATATTAAAAACATGCATTTGAAGAAATCAGCATTTCTAACTGAAGTGAGCCAAAAAGTAGAATTATGCTGGCATGAAATTTAGTAACCCACCATCTCCTACTGTTCTTCCAGAGCCTCCTAGTCACTGGATGGGAAGCTCTGTTGAAAATTCCAACCAAAATGGGGAGCTGATGGCTGTGCACTTGAAAACACTGCTGAAATTCAAACTTAAGATTTCAGATTTCAATACATATGTAAAACATAGTTTTTCCCAACACCCTGGACTCTAGGAAGTTGGTGCAGATCTGGAAAGCTGCCTTGTTGCAGTGTAAGAGTACAAAAGATGAGTTTAAAAAGCTATATATAAACAGCTTGCATTATATTTTGTATTTTGTAAATACTGTATACCATATATTATGTATATATTATTCATACTTGAGAAGTACATTATAGTTCTGTTATGAAAGTATGTATTTTGCCCTGCCCACATGGCAGGTCATTGTGTATATATATGCACATATATAATATTATATGTTATAATATATATTTTCTATAGATAATGGAAAAATTTTAAGGGTGCTAAAGCACATGGAAGACCAGTTTATTTGCCCAAGGTACTGAGAGTTTACCAAGAAGCAGCTGTCAGATCTCAAGGTGAAGATCTAAACGTGAATAGTTTACCAATGCACTACTGAAGATTAAGTCTGTGGCACAATCATTGTAAACAATGGAGTCTGTCTTTATTTAAATTGATTTCTACCTTCCAATCTATAATTACTGGAAAAACTCCTCTCCCTATTTCTACCAAATTTAATTTCTTGTTTTTGGTACATATGCATTATTCAAATTTAAGATGCCTCTAATTTTAATGCCAACAAAATTGGTTATAATTAATTTTTTTTTTGACAGGCAGAGTGGACAGTGAGAGAGAGAGACAGAGAGAAAGGTCTTCCTTTGCCATTGGTTCACCCTCCAATGGCCGCCGCGGCTGGCGTGCTGCGGCTGGCGCACCGCGCTGATCTGATGGCAGGAGCCAGGTACTTATCCTGGTCTCCCATGGGGTGCAGGGCCCAAGCACTTGGGCCATCCTCCACTGCACTCCCTGGCCACAGCAGAGAGCTGGCCTGGAAGAGGGGCAACCGGGACAGAATCCGGTGCCCCGACCGGGACTAGAACCCGGTGTGCCGGCGCCGCAAGGAGGAGGATTAGCCTAGTGAGCCACGGCGCTGGCCATATAATTAAATTTTAAAGTAATAATAATTTGCCTTTCCCCCTTTAAACTAGTCTTGACTTTTTGTGTCTGACTGTTCTGTGTGTGACCATGAGATGATTTTGCACGACTGCATTTTTAACTTCCCATTTGATGGCTCTGTCTTTGACCTTGTACTAATGATCCTTCCTCTACAAAATTTAGAGCAACAATTTAATATTTCTACATCTCCAAGGAGGAATTGCCCATCTCACAAGTGGAAATGGTAGGCCGGCGCCGCGGCTCACTAGGCTAATCCTCCGCCTTGCGGCGCCGGCACACCGGGTTCTAGTCCCGGTCGGGGCGCCGGATTCTGTCCTGGTTGCCTCTCTTCCAGGCCAGCTCTCTGCTGTGGCCAGGGAGTACAGTGGAGGATGGCCCAAGTGCTTGGGCCCTGCACCCCATGGGAGACCAGGAGAAGCACCTGGCTCCTGCCATCGGATCAGCGCGGTGCGCTGGCCGCAGCACGCCAGCCGTGGCGGCCATTGGAGGGTGAACCAACGGCAAAGGAAGACCTTTCTCTCTCTCTCTCTCTGTCTCTCACTGTCCACTCTGCCTGTCAAAAAAAAAAAAACCAAAAAAACAAGTGGAAATGGTAGTGTAAAGAAAAACTGGTTAGTTTATGACTGAGTATATTTTTATATGTAAACTTTTTCATGAAGTATTATTTGAATTAATAATTCATGCAGTTTTCAGTAGAAGGCAATGATACCTACTTTGTTTTATTACATTAATCTTGAATGGTGGTACTTACACTAAAAAAAGTATAGCTGATGCCGAAACAGTGGGTGGAGATTTTAGAGGCTTGCTTGAAGATCAGCATGGCAGTTCAAACTTCATTCTCAATATGTTTCCAACTCAGAAATTCTAAAATATACTTTCTATAAGGTTTCACTTATGCAAACCAAAAGTTTGTCTCAAAGGAGAAAACCTTTCTGAGTAATTGGGCAATATTTAGATATTAAAAGAAAAAAAATTCTTAAATGGGTACATACTTGCACATGATTCTTCAGGTCAAATTCATGAGAAAGGTGCTACTGGAGGTATTTTAGGTCTTAACTGGCTCCCACAAGGAGAGTGAAGACTTTTAACTTTTTGTGTGGTAGGCAGTATGGGCAGAAAGTTAGAATTGCTATTACTTGATGAGCAGTGCCAAGAGGGTAGGATGACTTACATTATGTAGATGTACCACAAATTTGTGTAAGCAATGCATGCTATCTTGTATTCATAGCTCAAGCCTGAAAACCAGTTCTTTGTCCCTGGGTATAACATGCTTGTTCTTATAGAGAGAAATTAAGCTGTACTTTAATATTATATATTAAATGATTAAGAGGTTATATTCCAATATGACAGTATCCACATCCAAGAATGTCTTACTTGTAGGAGTCATGCTGCTTTCAAGTGTGCACATGGTGATTCTTTTGTGCAGACTTCAGAGGAGGTCCCAGCACCTGGGCAGCATGAGTCTCCTCTGCCCAGCAGCCTTCCCAGAGTAAAAGGCCACCCAGACCATCCTGCTGCTGGTGAGTGCCTTTGTGGTCACCTACCACCTTAACCTCATCATCCTGTCTATCTCAGTCCATGTGTGGTGGACATACAACAAAGTCTGAGTATCTGGAAGTTAGTATTTAATGCTTGTGCTACAGTTAGTCCTGTGGTGCTGCTCAGTTCTGATAAAAGAATAATCAGTATTCTGAAAAGCACACAATGTAAGAGCCATTAATGTTTACTAATATTGTGATGGGATATTTTTCTTGAAAATATGTTCTAATGCAGTTAAATTATTCAGTAGCATAAGATTATTTTTTATTTCTGTAAGAGGAACATTTCATTATTTCATATGTACAGTTTTAAGAGTAAAATGATACTTTATCAGATTAAAATAAAGTGCAATTATTTGATAATTCTTTACTTCAATGTAAATCATAGTTTGATGCATATCATGTATCATCTTATTTCATTTTCTTTACTGTAGAAAAACATTTATTCTTGACATGTAGGTTTAGAAAGCTCCTGTTGGTAATCAAATCTCTGTGTTTATTTTTGATTATGTTTTATTCATCTTGGTCCATTAACTAGATTTTACCTAAGGATCCAACTCTAGCTCAGATAATTGCTTTTGGCATGATTGATTTTATGTCTGTTTTACAGCACCATACCAGTTGTTAAAAGGACTATTTTAGTCACCTCTGTGAATGATCTCTGTTTTCCTCTTACTGTTTCTAATTTTTTTCTCCCCTGATGTTATGAAGTCTGATTATGTATACTTTTGTGTCTTTTTGACACACTGCATTTGTAATTCAAGAGTTTGTAAGCATAGAGTCTTTTAAATCATCCAGGTTTGATAATTGCCTTTGTGTGTTTTTCTCTTTTTTTTCAATATTTATCACATAATATTCTTTTTTTTAATTTTTATTTAATGAGCATAAATTTCCAAAGTACAGCTTAAGGATCACAATAGCCTCCTCCCCACCGTATCTTCCCTCTCACCCACAACGCTCCCCTCTCCCACTCCCTCTCCCCTTCCCCTTCACATCATGATTAATTTTCAATTATCTTTATATACAGAAGATCAATTTAGCGTATGTTAAGTAAAGATTTCCACATTTTGCTCCCACACAGAAACACAAAGTGTAAAATACTATTTGAGTACTAGTTATAGCATTAATTAAACACCTAAGAGTAATTGTGTATTAATTACAGAGTTCAACCAATAGTTTTAAGTAGAATATAAAATGCATCTTTTGTATTGTTGTGGCTTCCCCCCTGACCTCCCTCCCTCCCTGTGGCCCTCCCCTCACCCACTCCCTCTCCCATCCCGCCCTTCATCACATTTCATTTTCAATTACCTTCATATGTTGAAGATCAACTTAGTATATACTAAGCAGGGATTTCAACAGGTTGCACTCACACAACCGAACCAGGTATAGGGTATTGTTCGACTAGTAGTGTTGTGTTTGAGTTTCATAGTTAAACATATTAAGGACAGAGATCCTGTGTGGGGAGCATGAACCCAGTGACTCCCGTTGTTGATTTAACAATTGGCACTCTTATTTATGATGTCAGCAATCACCCGAGACTCTTGCTATGAGCTGTCTAGGCTATGGAAGCCCCTTGAGTTCAGCAACTCTGAATTTGTTTAGTCAAGGCCATATCACAGTGGAGGTTCCTTCCTCCCTTCAGAGAAAGGCGCCTCTCTCCTTGATGGCCTGATCCTTCTGCTGGGGTGTTGTTCACCAGGATCCTTCATTTAGATTGTTTTTTGCCACCATGTCATGGACTTTCCATGCCCTCACCATGACTGCAGGGGCTGGGGACCCAGGCAGGGGGCTGGGTCAGGTCTGCCCAGGGCGGATCCCTCGTTATGCCTGGGGTTCCTCGCCATGCTTGTAGGTGCTGGGTCCTGGACACGGGGCGGGTTCCATATGGGGTGCCCAGGGAGGGCTCTCACAGGGCCTGCAGGGGCTGTGGATCCCGGCGGGGTTGCGTCTGGGGTGTGGGGCCCAAGCTGTGACTTAGGGGCTAGGGACTTGGGCGGGCGGGGCGGGGTCCCATCTGGGGTGCCCAAGGAGGGCTCTTTCTGTGCCTGCACAGGCTGGGAATCTGGGTGGGAGGCGTGGTCATGTCTGGAATGCCCTGGGCGCATCCCTCGCTGTGCCTGAGGGTCCCTCACCATGCCTGTAGGGCCTGGGGACCTGGGTAAGAAGCGGGATCCCGTCTAGGGTGGCCAGGGCGGTATTCTCACCATTCTTTCAGGGGCTTGGCACCCGGGTGGTGGGGAGGTAGTGTCTGGGGTGACCAGTACTGGGCCTTCAGCCTGCCTGTAGGGGTCAGGACCCGCATAGGAGGTGGGGTCCCATCTGTCATGGCCAAGGTAGGGCTGTCGCCATTCCTGCAGGGGCTTGGCACTCGGGCGGAGGAGGTAGCGAGTGTCTGGGGTGCCCAGGGAGGGGCTCTCGCATGCCTGCAGGGGCTGGAGATCCGGGCGGGGGGGAAATAGCCTCTGGAATGCCCAGGGTGGGGCCCTTGCTATACCTGAGAGTCCTGGCCAAGCCTGTAGGGACTGGGGTCCTGGGAACGGGGCGGGGTTGCATCTGGGTGCCCACGGTGGGGCCTTCGCCCTGCCTGCAGGTGTGGGGACCCGGGTAGGAGGCGGGGTCCCTTCAGGGGTGGCCAGGGCGGGGTCTCTGCATTCCTGCAGGGACTTGGGACCCAGGCAAGTGGTGTTCGAGTCTGGGGTACTCGGGACGGGTTTTGCCTTGCCTGCAGGGTGGGGGATCTGTACGGGGGACGTGGTTGCGTGTGAGGTGCCCAGGGCAGGACTATCACAGTGCCTGAGCATGCCTTGCTGTGCCTATAGGGGCTGGGACTCCGGGGGGGGTGCGTGGTCACATCTTGGGTGCCCAGGCGGGGACCCAGCTGCTCCCGCCCTTGCCTTACCCGTGGGGCCCTCGCCCTGCCTCCTGCAGCGGTGGCCCGGGCAGGTGGCAGGGTCACCTCCGGGGTGCCCAGGGCGGGGCTCTCCCTGTACCTGTATTGGCTGGAATTAGATCAGGGGCGTGGTCGGATCTGGGGTGCTTCAGGGTAGGGCCCTTGCTACAACTGCCCTCGCTGTGCCTGCAGAGCCCTCCGACTGCCTGCAGGGGTGGAGAACGGGGTAGGGTGTGGGTCGCCACTGGGGTGCCCAGAGCGGGAATTTCGCTGTGCCTGCAGGGGCTTGGATGCGGGTACGGGGCGTGGTCGCATCTGGTTACATCTGGGTTGCTCAGGACGGGGCCCTCGCTGTGGCTGCAGGCCCTCCTGTGCTGCAAAGGCTGTAGCTCCGGGAGGGGGACACGGCCTCGTCTGGGGTGCCAGCAGGGGCTTGTGAACCAGGCAGGTGGTGGGGTCCCAACTGTGGTGCCCACTGCAGGGCACTTACAGTGCTTGCGAGGCCTGGAGCCCCAGGCGCGGGGGAGCCGGGTTGCATCTGGGGTGCCCAGGCGGGGTTCTCGCCCTGCCTGCAGCAGCTGGGGACCCGGGCAAGGGACAGGGTCGCATCTAGGGTGCCCGGGGCAGGGAGCTCGCTTTGCCTCAGGGACTGGGGCGGGGTCGTGTCTTGGATTCCCAAGGTGGGTCCCTCCCTGTGCCTTAGGGCCTGGGGACCCTGGCGGACGGGGCGGGGTCCCGTCTGGGGTGCCCAGGGCAGGCCTCTCAGTCAACATGCTGGTGCTTGGGACGCAGGTGTGTGCTGGGGCCGAGTGTAGGGTGAACAACGCGGTGCTCTCACTGTGCCTGCAGGGGCTGGAGATCCGGACTGGGGGTAGGTATCATCTGGGGTCCCAGGGCCGGGACTCTACTGCGCCCGCCCTTGCTTTGCCTGCGGGGCCCTCGCCCTGCCTGCAGGTGTGGGGGCCCGGGCAGGGGGCGGGGTCACGTCTGGGGTGCCCAGGGCAGGCCTCTCGGGCCAGTGTGCTAGGGCTTGGGACCCAGGTGGGTGCTGGGGCCGAGTGTAGGGTGCCCAGGGCGGGGCTCTCACAGTGCCTGCAGGGGCTGGGGATCCGGGAGGTGGGCGTGGTCGCGTCTGAGGTGCCCAGGGCGGGGCCCTGGTTGTGCCTCAGGGGCTGGGGACCTGGGCGGGCGGGCAGGGCGGGGTCACGTCTTGGGTGCCTAGGGCCGGGACCCCACTGTGCCCGCCCTCGCTGTGCCTGCAGGGCCCTCGCCCTGCCTACAGCAGTGGGGGCCCAAGCAGGGGACGGGGTCAAGTCTGGGTAGCCCAGGGCAGGCCTCTAGGCTAGCATGCTGGGGCTTGGGATCCAGGTGGGTGCTGGGGCTGAGTATAGCGTGTCCAGGGCGGGGCTCTTTCCATGCCTGCAGGGGTTTGTGCTCGGGCGGGGGTGGGTCGCCTCTGGGGTGCCTGCAGGTCCTGGGGCCCCGGGTGGGGGAGGGCGGTGCAGCGCCTGGGATGCCCAGGGCGTGGCTATTGGCACGCCTGCCCTCCCTGTACCCGCGGGGTCCTCAGAGTTCCTGCAGGGGCTCTGGACCTAGGTGGGGTGGGGTCGCCTTTGGGGTGCCCAGAACAGGGCCCTCGCCGAGCCTGTAGTGCTGGGAACCCGGGCTGGGGGCGGGGTCCCGTCTGGGGTGCCCAGGGAGGGCTCTCATCGTGCCTGCGGGGGTTGGGGATCCGGGCGGGAGGAGGAGGCGACTTGGGTCCCCATGTGCCGCAGGGGCTGGGGACCCGGGCAGACAGGGCGGGGTCCCGTCTGGGGTGCCCAGGGAGGGCTCTCACTGTGCCTGCAGGGGCTGGGGACCCGGGCGGGTGGGGCGGGGTCCCGTCTGGGGTGCCCAGGGCAGGAGTCTCGCTGTGTCTGCAGGAGCTTGGGATCCGGGCGGGGTCGCGTCTTGGGTGGCCAGGGCGGGGCTCTCGCCTGGTCTGCAGGGGTTTGGGACCCAGGCGGGGGTGTGTTGTTCCTGGGGTGCCCAGGGCGGAGCTCTCCCCATGCCTGCAGGGACTGGGATCTGGGCGGGGGGCGTGGTCGCGTCTGGCGTTCCCGGGGAGGGCCCTTGCTGTGCCTGAGGGTCCTCGCCATGCCTGTAGGGGCTAGGGTCCTGGGCAGGGGGCGGGGTTGTGTCTGGGTGCCTAGAGCGGGGCCTTCGCCCTGCCTGCAGGTGTGGGGACGCAGGTAGGAGGCGGGGTCCCTTCAGGGGTGGCCAGGGCGGGGCTCTCGCCATTCCTGCAGGGACTTGGGACCCAGGTGAGTGGTGGTCGAGTCTGGGGTGCTCAGGACGGGTTTCGCCTTGCCTGCAGGGGTGGGGGATCCGGGCGGGATACATGGTCGCATGTGAGGTGCCTAGGGCGGGGCCCTCCCAGTGCCTGAGCGTCCCTTGCTGTACCTGCCGGGCCGGGGGCGGGTTCGCGTCCGGGGTGCCCAGGGCGGGTCCCTCGCCATGCTTGCAGGGGCTTTTGACCCGGGAGGTAGGTGGGCCCTTGCTGCAACTGCCCTCACTGTGCCTGCGGAGCCCTCCCAGGATACCCGGGTAGGGTGCGGGTCGCCTCTGGGTTGCCCAGAGCGGGAATCTCGCGGTGCCTGCAGGGGCTGGGATGCGGGTGGGGAGCGTGGTTGCATCTGGGTTGCCCAGGGCGGGGCCCTCGCTGTGGCTGCGGGCCTTCCCTGTGCTGCAGGGGCTGGGGCCCCCGGCGGGGGCATGGCTTCGTCTGGGATGCCAGCAGGGGCTTGGGACCAGGGCAGGTGGCGGGGTCCCCACTGTGGTGGCCATTGCAGGGCACTTAGAGGGCTTGCAAGGCCTGGGGCCCCAGGCGTGGGGGAGCCGGGTTGCATCTGGGGTGCCCAGGGTGGGGCCCTCGCCCTGCCTGCTGAAGCTGGGGAGCCGGGCAAGGGGCAGGGTCACACCTAGGGTGCCCGGGACAGGGCCCTGGCTTTGACTTAGTTGGGGAGCTGGTAAAGCAGTTGAACCCAACTAACTGAATGTTGATGGTGTAAAATATGGCATAAGGTGGCTGCCGCCATGGCTCACTAGGTTAATCGTCTGCCTTGCGGCGCCGGCACACCGGGTTCTAGTCCCGGTCGGGTCGCTGCATTTTGTCCCAGCTCTCCGCTATGGCCCAGGAGTGTAGTGGAGGATTACCCAAGTCCTTGGGCCCTGCACCCCATGGGAGACCAGGAGAAACACCTGGCTCCTGCCATCGGATCAGCACGGTGTGCCGGCAGCAGCGCACCGGCTGCGGCGGCCATTGGAGGGTGAACCAACTGCAAAGGAAGACCTTTCTCTCTCTCTCTCTCTCTCTCTCTCTCACTGTCCACTCTGCCTGTCAAAAAAAAAAATATGGTATAAGGTATTACCTTGATATCTTGCTGGTGAAAAAAGAGAATACATTGTAAAATTCTAGATTTTTGTTTTACACTTAGAAATGAGAAATAATGACAGCTGAGGCAACTGGAAAAGTTTTAATAATGATTGCATTCTTTTTAAATGAAATTCCCTTTAATTGTGTAATCTTAAACCTGAGAGGTGAAGGGAAGCTCTCCTCTGGCCCCAAAGCTGCCTCAGACTTTCCTCTCCACTCCCTGCCTGCCTCACTTCCTTCCCGCTCACACAGGCTCCACAGCGGCCTCGAGGTCTTGCAGCAGGATGTCATAGAAACTGCTTCATACTTGTGGAGAAATAAACACAATTCTGCTGTGAGAATACGACACTCAGGAGGAGGGAGCTTGTGGAGCTCTTTGGAATCACAGTGCTCTGCCTGAGGAACGGGGTGTCTGTCCCTGGCGGTGGGTGAGTGTAGCAAATACCTCTAGACCTCTCCCAAGCAGCCCTTCCTCCTCTCCCTTGTGTGGTTGGCTGGATAGCTGAAGGGGGGGGGGGGCTGCTGCCTCAGTGTCAATGTTGGAGCTGACTGAAAGACCCCATGGCTGAGCACCCGGGGGTGTGTTGATGGCATCATTTGAGGTGTGACCCTGGGACTTGATGGACATTTGGGTGTCATGCAGCTGAGGAGAATGCGCCGATTTCCCTGTGTCTCCTGCTTCCAGAGCCATGAAATCAAGGCTGCTTTGCACCAAGTGCCGGGAGAGCCGTCTTCTCATCCCCATCAGACACAGACGTTTCTGTTGAGGAGAAGCATATGCTCTTCATGTCAGTTCCGCACCTGGACCAGGCCTCAGCCCTGTTTTCTTCAGGACCTCTCAGGTTGATGGGTGAGGAGACCCGTGGGAGGAGGACTTAGAAGTCCGGAGGCTGAGTGCCTTCTAGTTGTGCACAGAAACACCCTGTACGTGTCTTCCTTAATTGCAGAGTGTTCCTGATGTCATGGGCACGTAGGAACCAGAGAGGAACCTCTGCCCTGGACCTCTCTCTGCTGGATCTCAGCTGCCTCATGTTTCCTGGTGCTGTTTTTTTTTTTTCTTTAAGAGTTTATTCAAGTCAGAGGTATCTGCATTTATAGCTTCTTCCTGATAATTCTTTCCTCTCCTGATGGAGTTTCATTTCTCCTGTGTTTCAGGAGATGCCTGGGGGGGGGTGGTGTCCCCCATTGGATTCTAGTCTGAGGGAGTCTTCCATGGTGAGTCACGTGCTGCTTTGCTCATTAGAAGAATCCTAAGTAAGATGGGAAAAGACTCTTTTTGTTGGAGAGAGAAAATGAAAACCAGCTTTTCTGAGGCCAGAGGGGCTCATGTGGTAATAAATGATGAATTCATCCTTTTTTTCTGCCATCCCTCCCAGTGGCAGTTGATCTCATGACAGCTGTTTCCAGCTGTACTCTGGATTTTGCGCAGGCCCCTTGGGATGGCTGTAGTGACTCACACAGCTGGGGTTTTTCCACAACGGGCTGAACCTGGCTGCTAGAGGAGCAGGGGCTAGAGGCAGGGAAGGTGACTCTGGTGGCTGGAGGAGATTTCCTTGTTGGGATCGCTGTCCCTGCAGGGCCCTCCTGTCCACAGAGATCCTGGGAGATAACGTCTGGGGCAGGGTAGAGAATGTGTTCATAGAGAACGTGTGTTGGAGAAAGCCAAATGTTCTTTTTTTTTTTCTTTTTTCCCTGTCCCTTTCCTTTTCAGATGGAAGTAGATCTGTGTGTGAAATGGATACATGAGTGAGTGTTGAGGGAGACGTTGGTTAACAGATGGACATTGCAGCCATCCGGCGCAGTGGGATGCCTGCATCCCTCACTGGAGTTTCTGGTTTGAGTTCAGGCTCCTCTTCTTCTGACCCAGCTTCCTGTGAATGCGCTCCATGGGTGGCTGACACTCATGCAGAGACCGGGTTTGAGCTTTGGGCTTCTAGCTTTGGCCGAGCACCGCCTTGGCTGAGTCACACCCGGAGCAGAAGAAGCTGACTGAAGTGGGCCTGGGGCATCAGAATGACGCTGGATGCGGCAGGGTGCAGATGTGTCCCGTGGCGCCATGGCGACGGCCAGTGGGACTGCGCCCGCCTGCGTCCTGCACTTTGACCCGGAAGTGCACACGCACGCATGCATACCCCGACTGCCCGCCAGCGCTCTTGTGGGAGTCAGCACCGCGTCCGCTGCTGCCCAAGAGCCTGCACAAGCTGTGAGGAGCCGTGCTCGACGCTGCTGGCCAAGACTGAGGGAGACCCAGCGGCTCCAAGGTCAGGCCAGGATCAGGAGAGGCTGCATGTCTGAGGCTGCAGCACTATTTCCCAGGCGCGGTTGTCTTCTTCAGCCCCTTCCGGAAGCAACGGCCTTGGCAGACCTCTATCCCGCCAGCAGACCGGGCCCCCTTGGAGGTGAGTGACGCGTGGCTGTTGCGGCTTCCCGCTGGGGTATTGGGTGCCGGCGTGCCTGTTGCTCTTGGTCCCGAAGGCTCCGGTGGAGTCGCAGTTGTGCTGTGCAGACGGTCTGGAAGGGTCCCCAGGGTACGAGCAGCTGTGTGAGAGCAGAGGTGGCTCCATCTCCTCCCGAAACTGCCCCACGTTCCCGTCTGTTTGCTTTTTGAGGGCCCAGCCACCCTGCTCTAGACCTCTGAGAGTGTTGTTGGGAGGAACGAGAGCGAGAATGTGTGTCTGTGTCCTGGTCTAGGAGGGCAGTTTCCGGTTACTCGCGTTTGGTGTGCTGTTAGTACTCTGTGGGTTTTTTATGAAAGACCGTTGTCAGGCCCAGGTGTACCATCTGTTCTTAATTTGATGATTTTATTTTTTTAATACCGCAAAAGTAATGAAGGTTTTGTGAAATAGGTTTTCTGTGTCTATCGGGATACTTTGTGGCTTTTCCCATGTGGATTCTGTTCTGGGATATATTGCTTTGGTATGGTAGCCATCCTTGCATTCCCGGAGTAACTCTCAGTTGCACACAGTGTGCTAAGCTTTGTTTGTGCTCCCGGATGGCATTTGGTAATATTTTATTGAGGCATGTGACACATTCATGATGGATATTTGTGTGCCATTTTCTTTATGATGTGTGCTTGTTTTGGATGTTGGGATAACGCTAGTCTGATGGAATAAAAAGGAAAGTTTTTCCTCTTCATCTCCTTTTTGGAAGGGTGTGCAAAGAATGGATTTTAATTATCCTTTAAATGGGAGTTTTTACCGGTGGAGCCGTCTGTTCCTGGAATTTTCTTCATGTGTGTTTGTTTCCCACTACTGCAGTCTCTTTTCAAATTATGAGTGTATTTAGGGTTTCTTGTTTTACTGTATTCAGTTTTAGTGGTTTGTGTCTTTCTGAGAATCAGTCCACACTGTATCGACATTGACCAAATCCTTGTGCCTTGGCTTTTCCATAGTGTTTTCTGATTATTATTTTGGTAAGGTAGGTAATAGTGTCTTCTCTGTCGTTTCTGTTGTGAAGTCACTTGAGTCTGTTCCCTTTTTTCCTGCGGATAAACATTTTGTCCATGTCACTGAGTGTTCAAGAATAGTATTTTGGTCTCACTGAATTTCTGTTGTGATATTTTCTATTCCGTTGGATTTATATCAGTTTGTATATTTTTCCTCCTTCCACTTTCTTAAGATTTACTTTTCTGTTCTAGTGTTTTAAGGTAAAATCCCCACCTTGGGAGACCCAGAAAAATTACTGGCTCCTGGCTTTGGATTGCCCCAGCTCCAGCCATTGTGTCAATTTTGGGAGGTGTACTAGTGGATCGAAGACCCCCCTCTCTCTCTGCTTCTATATCTCTGCAACTCTGCCTTTCAAATAAATGCATAAATCTTTTAAAAGAAAAGATTGACAGTAGTTTTATCATTAGAAACAACATATGCTACAAGAGAACGGAGAAACTCTTTGAAGTACTGAAAGATAAAGAGTGTCAGCATAGAATTCTTTGCACAGTGAACGTATGTTTCCAGTGTGAGAGTGAAATAAAGATTCTAGACATAGGATCACAGAAATAATTCATCACCAGCAGATCCACACTACCAGAAATATTAGAAAAAGTCCTTTAGGGAGAAAGACAATGTTACTAAGTGGGTATTTGAATCAACACAAAAGATGAAAACATGAGAATTGAAAGCTACATGGTTAAATGTATACAGATTTTTTTTGACAGGCAGAGTGGACAGTGAGAGAGAGAGACAGAGAGAAAGGTCTTCCTTTGCCGTTGGTTCACCCTCCAATGGCCGGCACCGCCGGTGCGCTGTGGCCGGCGCACCGCGCTGATCCGATGGCAGGAGCCAGGAGCCAGGTGCTTTTCCTGATCTCCCCTGGGGTGCAGGGCCCAAGCACCTGGGCCATCCTCCACTGCACTCCCTGGCCACAGCAGAGAGCTGGCTTGGAAGAAGGGCAACTGGGACAGAATCCGGCACCCCGACCGGGACTAGAACCTGGTGTGCCGGCACCGCTAGGCGGAGGATTAGCCTAGTGAGCCGCGGCGCCGGCCATGTATACAGATTTTTAAACTGTTTAGTCACTTTAAAAGATAAATGACTTTTTTACAGCAAAAATACTAAACATGTAGCATACAGTTTATAGCTTTTTAAAGTTAAATGTGTGGCAACTGTAGTACAACTGTAGGGAGAGTGAAATGGAAATACACCATTTGGCATTGGTGCAATATCACTTGAAGATAAATGTGATAAATTTAAAATATATACAATGAAACCTAAAGAAGTCACTAAAGGTAAATAAATGGGGATATAATTAACCCGTAAAAGAAATAAAATGGAATCATGGAAAAGAAACTGATCCAAAAGTAGGCAGATAAAGAGGAAAAACAGAACATAGAACAGATAGAAAACACCTAACTAGGAGATTAATTTAAGCTTAGCTATTTCATTAATTACATTAAATGTAAATGGTATAAGGAACTCAATTACAAGGCAGAGAGATTATAACATTGAATCAAAAAACAAGACCCAAGTATAGGCTCCCTAAGTGAAATTCAGTTTGAATATAATAGCTTGAAAATTGAAATATGGAGAAAGAATACACATTAGTCATCTACAAAACTGGACTACCTACATTAGCAACACAGATCATGGAGTACTTTTAGGATCATGGGATATTTTCAATGATAAAGAAAGTCAATTCATGATGATAAATGCTTTGATCCATCAGTAAGACATCAATCTAAGTATTTATAGACCTAGTAACACAGCTTCAAGATGCTGAAGCAAAAGTTGATAGAACTGCAAGGTTTATCTGAAAAAAATCCATAACTGGAATGGGAGATTTCATTATTCTTATCTCAGTAATCAGTAGAGCAAGCAGATAAAAGTTGGTATGGAAACAGTCTTAAAGACATCACAAACTAGTTGACTTAATACACATATGTAGAACACTGAAATCAATAACAGATCACACATGTTTTGAAAGCACTCAGAAAATATATATGGATGTAATTCTTTAGGTCATAAAGGAAGTTTTAATAAATTTAAAAGGATTTACTTAGTGCTTCAAGGAATATATGAGAGCTATAATTGAATGACAAAGATTTCTGGAAAATTTTCCATTGTTAACACAATAAACAACACTTTTAAATAACCTGTGAGTCAAAGAATAATGACTAAAAGACAACTTTTTATGTTATCTCCTACCAGCAACCCCAGGCTCTTGGGGAAGCTGTTTTTCCCTCAGGCGTGGGATGACATCCTCAGTTAGCTAAGAGATAGGGCATGTGGCTGCCTATGTCATTGTTTCTCAGGATAGTCAGGAGATGGCCACACAGTGATCATGTGTGTGAGGGCATAGAGGAAGTGTTTGTTGACACAAAGAATGGAACACTGTATCCACATGGGTGTGGGTATAGTCCCAGGCAAGCTACATTTCTTGTCTTCATGAGAGTTTTTATCTGATGGTCAAAGTAGTACCCAAAGCAAGATTTGGGGAATTAAGATCCAAAATCTTGTTAAATTCTGAAATGTTCCATGTGTCATCTTTCTCATCTAACAAACTGGTGTTGTCATTTGGATTTAAATTTCATGATGGCAGAGAAGAAAAAGATGCTAGAGACCAGTTAGGACAATAATTTTTCAAAGATTTTTCTTTTTTGTACAGAAGAGGACTGGGAGTGTATGTGTCATCATCATAGTCCCTAGGGTATTAAACAGTGATTATAACTTTTTTTCCTATTCAGGTAAATATTAGAATACAAGTGACTGATGACAGTAACTCTGGTCTGAAATATTTTTAAGTAGCTAATTCAGAAAATTCAACTCAAATTTATAAAAATAACGTGAATTTTAATACATTATTTTAAGTAGTCTTGCAACATCAAAAGTGCAATTTTCTTTTCTGTGCTGTATTATAGATGGTGAATTTGAGCCCAAACACACAGGGTTAGTTTTTCACCAATTAATATAATTAATAGCAAAGACAGGATAAGAGAAAACATTTTCTTTCTTCTAGAATTATATGTGTTGGGTCCACTACACCAGTCCTCTTTCTTTCTAGGTTCTCTATCGATAATAATGATCATGACAATAATAAGATGTTGTTGATGAGGATGAGGATGAACTCCAGGGACCTTACTCATTATATCTTTGTAGGCCAGTACTTGTTATACTGTGGACACTTAATAATGTTTACTGAATGAATATACAATGATAACTCCTCATAGAGCTATGATTTTGACCTAGGCGAATACAGGATCTGGGACCTCGATCCAGGTCTCCCACATGGGTATCAGTTGCCAGGTACTTGAGCCATCACCTGCTGCCTCCAAAGGTCTGCATTGATAGGAAGCTGGAATTGGGAGCTCGGGCTGGGAATTGAACCCAAGCATTCTGATATGGGATGTGGGTGTCCCAAGCCATGTTGCAACCAATTCACCAAATAGCAGCCCTCTATATTAGCTTTCTTAAAAAAATTTATTTATTTATTTATTTTTTGAAAGTCAGAGGTACACAAAGAGAAAAGGACAGGCAGAGAGAGAAAGAGAAAGAGAGAGAGAGAGAGGGCTCCTATCTGCTGGGTCAATCCCCAGTTGGCTACAATGGCTGGAGCTGCACTGATCTGACCCAGACCAGCTTTGGCTGGAATTTTGCTGTGAAGTGCTCTGTGTCATGTGGTCAGTGACATCATCAAAGGTTGTGCTGGCTGCACAACCTTAGTTTATGTTTGCCTTAGTTTATGTTGCCTTGGGGATTTAGGAGCCTAGTGTGCCAGGCAGGTCGGGTTTTGTGGCTATGACACAGTTACTGTAGCTCAGTTAACAGAAGCACCCTGCAGAATTGGAAAGCACCTTCAGATTCAGACTCCTGGTGCCCTGCTTGTCCACCATTCATTTCATGTGATGCTGATGTTACTGGAGGGGTGGGGAGGGGTCACAGCCACCCAGATGAGCATGGACTTGGCACTTAGCTTTTCAGACGAGGTGCTTCCCTGGAGTTTATTGTCACAAACACAGCACTGACCTGCGGTATCAAGTGATCACGTGTGGGAACAGGAGCAGGAGGAGGAAGGAGCCAGCACTGGTCAGGGCAGCTTATTCTCAGTGTGTGTGAGCAGTGCCAATAAGCTGTCAAAAAAATTATGGTTTAAAACAACAGCCAGCTGGCACCACGGCTCACTAGGCTAATCCTCTGCCTGCAGTGCTGGCACACAGGGTTCTAGTCCTGATTGGGGTGCTGGTTCTGTCCCGGTTGCTCCTCTTCCAGTCCAGCTCCCTGTTGTGTCCCGGTAACGTAGTGAAGGATGGCCCAAGTCCTTGGGCCCTGCACCCATATGGGAGACCAGGAGGAAACACCTGGCTCCTGGCTTCAGATCTGCGCAGCGCGCCAGCCGCAGCATGCCAGCTGTAGTGGCCACTTGGGGGGTGAACCAATGGAAAAGGATGGCCTCTCTCTCTGTCTCTCTCTCTCACTGTCTAAATCTGCCAGTCAAAATAAAAATACAGCCCACAGCCTTCAATTCACTTTCACCAAGACGCTCAAGCAGCTCAGAGGGAGCACAATTGATTCTGTTTTGACAGGTCCTGATGTACGCTAAGCACTGCCTTATTTATTTGTCATGATGTTCTTAGGAAGAAGGTGGGATTGTGTACATTTTACAGCTGGGAAAACGAAGCTGTCAGTGATGAAGCGTGTGCCTAGAGTATTTCAGTTAGAACGAAGGTACTTCAATGAATTCCTAGAAAATGGAATTCAAAGATGACTTGATTTTGTTGCAAAAATGTTTGAATTCCACAACGTAGGTTTTTTTTAATAATAGACGTTTTCATTAAGTTTTTTCAAGACCTCTCATGTAGGTATCCATGTCAAAATTTTTTATACCAAAACCAATTTTTTCGTAGCAGGCATTTGGTGCAACAGTTAGGTACTTCCTGGGACACCCGCATCCTTTTTGGAGGGCTGGATATAGACCTTGCTGAGTTTTTCAGAAGTCTACGCTTTTTCCGTCACATCCGTGACAATGAGCTCTGGCAGGACATCATGCTTTGGTGCCACTCCCAGACATGCATGTTCAGTTCCTCTGTGGAGGAGCTGGGGGGAACTGCGACGCGATACTCTGTTTTCTCATTAGCCCCAGTTTGTCTTAACCTGTGAGCAAGAGCACATGTTTAGGAAAGTAAGAGGACAGCTCTTATGGCAGATGGATTTCTGCTCCCACGCCTTCCGTGGGAAGGACTTGCCCTGCCAGAAGTCAGAGGCACAAGGCAGCACTGGTGTATCTCTGTGTTTGTGGTGCAGGTGGGCAAGTGGGAGAACCAGACCCTGAGCCCGAGGCCCACGGTGAGGCCCCGGTACAAGTCCTTCTCTGACTGTGAGCTGGATCACAACCACCTGAGCATCATCACCCTGGAGGAGGCCCCCTTCGTCATCGTGGAAGACATCAACCCGCTGACTGAGGCCTGTGTGCTGAACACGGTGCCGTGTCGGAAGTTCATCAAAATCAAGTGAGTGCCAGGGAGGCTGTGGTCTGGACATGCCCACGCCTGTCACATAGTGCAAGTCACTGATCACAACAGCATCTGTACTACAAAACGTAACACAGAACACACTGTTGTGATAGCTGTAGTGTTAGCAATGGGCTTATGTTTATGATTGCCTGGAGATGCACTAAGTTTACATGCATTAAATTCTCACAGCCATATGAGGTGAGGGCGTTTGCCATTTACAGTTGATACAGTTTAGTTATGGGCAGGTTGGAGAACATGGCTGAAGCCATCCAGAGGTATGGCTGACTCCAGCTGTCTTCTTACCCATGGTGCTCAGTCATCCCCCAGCATCCTAAAAAGTCTCTCCTTAAAGTCTCCTTAAAGGATTTCTTTTTTTTTTTTTTGACAAGCAGAGTGGACAGTGAGAGAGAGAGAGAGAGAGAGAGGTCTTCCTTTGCCGTTGGTTCACCCTCCTATGGCCGCCGCAGCCGGCGCTCTGCAGCCGGTGCACCATGCTGATCCGAAGGCAGGAGCCAGGTGCTTATCCTGGTTTTAAACATTTTTCTGTCCGTTCCCTCCCTGGCACGTCCCCCCTCCTCTGTATTTCCCAGACTGGGGGTCGACACAGCTTGGGAATGATTTCCTGATGCTGTAGAGGTGGAGTTTGAACCACTGACAGCATGCCAGTGTTGCATCCCTGCTGGAGAGTCACGGGTTGGTGGAGGTTGGAGGGGACTGTGCAGGGAAGTCATGGGCTGGAGGAGGATGGAGGGGACATTGCAGGTTTGTTACCAAGGGCCATTCTGATTTCAGTGGGTGTTGGGAGCCAAGCTTGACCGCGTGAAGAAAGCAAGGAGCATAACATCTGTGGGACAACACCCTGTGTGCTTCATTATGGCCCATGAGTGTAGTCTCTTCTTCATAGTCGATAGCAGGAGTTTACAGTCTTTGAAAATCAGAAGGCCTAGAGCTGAAAACAAGCAGATGTCCACATCCCAGTTTGCTTGACTATGAAGTACATGAGCCAAAAATCAATGACTCCCTATGAAAGAATTGATATTTTTACTGAACACTGTGAACAGCGTCTCAGGTACAAGCTCAAATTTTGTTGTTGTTGTTCCTGTACGGAGGGGGCAGCTTGTGACTTTGCCTTTTCTGCTTGAGAACATGAGAAGTTTACTATGTATAGAGGTGAATTAAAGCCTTTGACTTCCGTGGGAGCAATACAAAATTAGAATCCATGAATCCCAACATTAACGTAGGTTAAAGCAATTAAATTTCCTAAATGTAGCATTTTGAGCCAGGCTAATTGGTTGCAAAAAGAATTCCTGTTGGACAACATGACTGTATTTACTTGGTACTGATTTTTCCAGGGAAAAACCTGCCCTTTCTAGCCTCTGGGAGATTCTGGGGTCTTGGAGGCCCATATTAGTCTCCAAAACCAGTTTAGGTATTGAATCCAGTGGTTATCACATGGAATATATACAAGGGTGGTACCCCAGATCTGGGGTCATCTCCCTGGAGGCTAGAGCTCAAAGTCTACATGGTGATCATGGCTGTAGAAGCAGAGTGGTTGAGGCAAACTCAAGGGCAGCATGACTGTGGTGGTGAGGAAGGTAGGTGGTTGGTGATTCTGGAATAAAGGAGAGCTCCAGGGAAAAGGTGGCATTTTCAACCTACTTCTGCTACTCAGTTATATTTTCAAGTCTGTCCACATTCATGGATGTAGCTATAAATAAACCTCTCTGACTCGATTATGTGTGTGTAACAAATTATATATGATATATGTAGTCCATATTAACTGGAGAATTTGATGGAAAAATCCTAATATGAAAAGGCAAAAATCATTTTCTACCATTAAAAATAGCTGTGCTTCTCATTATTTTTTCCTCCAGTAATTTCGTAAACTCATTAGTTTTTACATAGCTGTGATTATTATTTATAGTATTATATAACCTCTTTTTTAAACTAAGAGATAGAAATGTACTTTCCTACTATGAAGTTGAGTGTCTTCAAACATTATTTTAGTGCTTAGACGATAGTCCTGTGTGTGATTGTGCTCAAAATGTAAGGTTACAGATGGAGCATCTACATTGTAGCATGTGTGATTCAAGTAGAGGGTAGAGCTACTGGGATGTTCCAGTGTAAGCAAGTTTGTTCCCTGAAGAGGCTGTGGTCTTCCTGCCTGCTTGTCTAAGACTTTCTGCTGTCAGTGGGGAAGACCATCATTTCCTTCCTTACCAAAGACGTTTCTGATTCGTGTGGGTGTTCTTTTCTAGGAGTTGGTTGGGAGAGTATAGCAGGGTGCCTGGTAGAAAACAGTGAGGTTGACCCTGGCAGCTCAGAAGATAGGCTTTCCACTGGCCATATGGTCTCTGTTTTAATGGCAATTTTTCCCCCAGTCCTGGATATTACTCTTGAAAAGTTTGACCTTTTGTGCATCAAGCCATGTTGTTAGGAAGAAAAAATAGTACGAATGAGCCTTCATGGATAGTCGGGCCTAGTGTGAGAAGTTAATTCTGTGGACTCAGGCATGGGGTAGAACCCCATGATTGTAGGAGTTATCTAGGCACTTCCAGTTCTTCCCTTTGGTTTCAGGCCTCCGTACTTAGAGGATGAAGCAAAACCTTACTTTACTTGAGAATTTCACACCTTCTTCTCTTCCATTTTCCAATAAATTTTTATGACTCAACTTAGATCAGATTGCTAGACTCTGGTTTAATGAAGTTGTATGTGGGGGCCAGTGCCGTGGCTCACTTTGTTAATCCTTCCCCTGCAGCAGCGGCATCGCATATGGGTGCCAGTTCTAGTTCCGGTTGCTCCTCTTCCAGTCCAGCTCTCTGCTGTGGCCCGGGAGGCAGTGGAGGATGGCCCAAGTGCTTGGGCCCTGCACCTACATGGGAGACCAGGAGGAAGCACCTGGCTCCTGGCTTCGGATCTGCATAGCTCCAGCCATAGTGGCCATTGCGGGGTGAACCAACAGAAGGAAGACCTTTCTATCTGTCTCTCTCTCACTGCCTACCTCAATCTGTCAAATAAAAAAAAGAAGTTGAATGTGTTAGAAATGTTTAAAAATAAGAGTTAGTAACTCTTGCCTGTTGTGTAGAGGTACAAATGCTACCTAATTTGGAGAAACATCAGGGAGCTCAATCCAGCAAATGGTATAAAGCATTTAGTGCAGTGCCTAACTGCAGTGTAGTAACTTCTCAGTAAACATTAGCTATTGTGCTAGTAACCGCTATAATTAAAGACACTTGCTCCTCTGGCCGCCATGAGCTCAGTGTGCGTCCATGGAAAAGTTACTTCCCTTCTTGAACTTTCAACTTCGCAAAGCTAGTAGAAGAGTATAGCTAATGACTAGACAAGTCTTCCAGTACTAACAGCCCATGGTCTTGGGATTTTCTTTGCAGCAATTCAGCTAACAAGGGGATGAACTTTAAGAAATGCTGCAAGGGGTTCTGCATTGGTATCCTGAAGAAGCTCTCCTGGATGGTCAAGTTTACCTATGACTTCTACCTGGTGACCAAAGGGAAGCATGACAAAAATGTCAACAATATGTGGATTGGAGTGATTGGGGGAAGTAAGTCACCTTTCCACCCTGGCCTCCCATTCTGACAGGGGCCTGTGGTCAGAAGTGTTGGGAAGAACATGTAAAGGTGCCATTCTTTTTATGCCTTACCTCCAGGTGGTTACCACAAAGCGGTCCTGGCAGTGGGCTCGACAACATCAATGAGGAGCATTCTGAAGTGGTGGAATTCTCCGTGCCCTTTGTGAAGACAGGGATCAGTGTCATGGTTTCAAGAAGCAACGGCACTGTCTCGCCTGCTGCTTTTCTAGGTAGGTGAACATCATAGGGAATCCTGCTTCGCTATAAGAAAGTATAGTTTGCTGAAAGCATGGGACTGGACCAGACCTAGCTGTTTAGCATGATTTGCCCACATCAGCATGTTCCAGAGCATGTTGCATTTATATTATCCCAACTCACACTCCCCCACCACCACTCCAGTTCACAGCTCTCATTAATCCTGTTACAAATCTCTGCTGAAAACTACTCTCATATATTCAGATACCAGTCTTCACTCTAGAATGCAAATTAATAAATATATGGCTTAGAGCCTTGAAAATATTTAAGAACTTAAACCTGGCTGTCCACAGTTAATTTAAATCAGTGCATAAAGCTTTATTCAACATCCATGTACACATCTTGCATCCCATGCTGTGGGGTAAATGCCAGTCATTTATTTATTAGATGCCAGAGGGAAAATAATGATGACTGCACTGTTATTTATACCAGTACTCTGGTAAACAAAATGGTAGTCTGAAGAATGTACACTGGATTTAAAATTAATGGAATCACATTTTAAATATGGCTGTTCTTTAAGCCAAATAGTTTGCAAAGCAGGAAGATCTCTTGACTCTGTTTTAACGTAAGTTTGTTTTCACATTAAAATATTCCCTTTTTGGATTTGTATATTTTCTCTTCCTTTAAACTTTTCTTCAGCTCTGTATGTACATGTGTTGGATACCCCGGCTAGATTAGTGAAAACTCCATGGAAGGTAGCCCAGCCCAGTTCATTTTTCTCTCTCACAAGGAAAGTGTTGTGTTGACTTTTCTTTCACATGCATTATTTCCATTAGTGGATGTCTTGTTGACAATCAGGCACTTCAGAGCATTAACTCCCTCTTGGTACTGCTATATGCATGCATTCACCTCAAAGTTGTGAAGATTGGAACACACCTTAGAGGAAAGCAAGTAAGAGAGAGAAGGAAGTTCTACGAAGCTTAATCAAAGAGTTGCAGAGAGAGTTAGAAACAAAGAGAGAGAAAAAGAAAGGCAAAGAAAGAGAGAGGTCTTCTATTTGCTAGTTAACTCCCCGATGGCTGCGATGACCAAACTGAGCCAATACAAAGTCAGGATCCAGGACCTTTTTCCTGGTCTCTCAAGTGGTTTCAGTGGTCCAGTGACTTGGGGCATCCTCTGCCACATTCCCAGGCACATTAGGAGGGAGCTGCATGGGAAGAGGAGCAGTCAGGACTCGAATTGGCACCCATATGGGATGCTGGCACTGCGTGTCGTGTCTTTAACCTGCTAGAACACAGCACTGTCCCTGACAGTATGGTTTTATTCTTTCTTGATTTTGATCTATTTATGTTTATTGATTTGCAAATGTGGAACCACCATGGCATTTCTGGGATAAATTCCAATTGAAGGTAATATATGAGCTTTACCATGTGATTTTGGAGTTTTTATTTTGGCTAGAATTTTATTGAGAATGTTTTCACCTGTTTCATTAAGGATATAGGGTGGCAATTTTCTATGCATTTCGTGTCTTTTGTAGTTCCTGGCATCAAAGGAATGCTGGCCTCATAAAAAGTGTTTGCCAAAATTCAGTGTTATTCAGTATTTTGAAGCAGTTTGAGAAGTGTTGAAGTGCCTTTTGAAATGTTTTATTGAATTCAGTTGTAATGCAAGCAGTTTTCATTGCTGGAGTTTAGTGCCTGGAGTTTGCTGGAAAACTTTTAATTACTGCTTCAATCTCACTGACTTTAAAGGGTCTTTTTCAGATGTCTGTGTCTTCTGGGTTTAATCTTAGTAGTTTACATGTATTTGTTATGGAGGAATTTCTCCATTTCTTCCTGTTTTTTCCAATTTTTTAGCATATGATATTGAATAGCAATTTCTTTTGAAGCCTTGTATTTCAGTGATGTTGGTTATTATGTCTGCTTTTTCATCTGTAATTTCACTTACTGTAGAGTTTTTCTCTTTTGTTATGTTAGTCTGGTTACAGAATTATCTATTTTTTTCAAATTTTATGTCAGGTATACAAATTTCATGCATTTCTTCTATACAGAGTCAAAACATACTGATACTTCATCCCATGCTACAATCCCTCCATCCTGCTCTCAAACCCTTCTGCTCATTTCCTCTTTTGTTACTACTCTTTTTTTAAAAAAATTTTTGACAAGCAGAATGGACAGTGAGAGAGAGAGACAGAGAGAAAGGTCTTCCTTTGCCGTTGGTTCACCCTCCAATGGCCGCCGCAGCTGGCGCACTGCGACCAGCGCACCGTGCTGATCTGAAGGCAGGAGCCAGGTGCTTCTCCTGGTCTCCCATGCGGGTGCAGGGCCCAAGCACTTGGGCCATCCTCCACTGCACTTCCGGGCCACAGCAGAGAGCTGGCCTGGAAGAGGGGCAACCGGGACAGAATCCAGTGCCCCGACTGGGAATAGAACCCAGCATGTCAGCACCGCAAGGCGGAGGATTAGCCTATTGAGCCACAGCACTGGCCTTGTTACCACTCTTAATTCTTAATAATTATCTATTTTCAATTAACTATATACTCATATGTTTAACCATACAATAAGTAGAGAACAGTATAAAAAAAAAAAACACTGTAGAAAATCATCTATCACAGAATGTCAGTTTCCCTCCTACCCATTACCCTTTAGGTCTCTATTGGTTACCACAAATCAGGGTAACATATGGTATTTGTCCTTTCAGAATGGCTTATTTCACTAAATATACTGGTTTCCAATTATATCCATTTTGTTGCTAAAGACAGCATCTCTGTAATCCCCAATGGGTTGTGTTACCTAGTGTATATAGGCCATGATTTCTTTATCCAGTTATCAGTTCATGGACATCAGGGTTGATTCCATGTCTTAGCTATTGTGAAGTGAGCTGTGCTAAACTTGGAGGTGCAAATAATCCTTTCAAATATGCTGATTTCATTTCCTAGGGGTAAATCACCTTGAGATGGATTGCTGAGTCATATAGTAGATTTATTTCCAGCTTTCTAAGGTATCTCTACTTGCTTCCACAATGGCTTCACCAGGTTTATGTTCCCACCAACAGTGGATTACGTTCCCATAGTTGTCACATCCTCAGTAGCATTTATTGTTTGTTGATTTCTGTATGTGAGCCATTCTAACTGTTGTGCAGTGAAACCTCATTGTCATTTGGATTTGCAATTCTGTGATGGTTTGTGATCTTGAGCATTTTTTCAAGTGTCTGTTGGCCATATGAATGTCCTCACTTGAAAAAATGCATGTTCAAGTCCTTTTCCCATTTCTAAACTGGATTTTTTGTTTTGTGGTTGTTGAGTTCCTTGAACTCTTTATGGATTCTGGATATTAATCTTTTATCAGTTTCATAGCTTGCAAGTATTTTCTCCCATTCTTTCAGTTGCCTTTTCACTTTGCTGAGTGTTTCTTTTGTAGCGCAGAAGCTCCTTGGCTTGATGGAATCATATTTGTCTCTGCTTTTATTGCTTGTGCTTCTGGGATCTTTTTCCCCAGAAATCTTTGCCTATGCCAATACCTTTCGGTTTTCCCCAATGTTCTCTAGTAGTTTGATGAGATTGAGTTTTAGATTTTGTTCCTTGAAGTATTTTTAATTGGTTTTTGTATAAGGTGTAAGGCATGGGTCTTCTTTCATAGTTCTGCATGTGGAGGTCCAGTTTTCCCAGGACCATTTTTTGAAGAGACTGCCCTTTGCACCTGGGATTGATCTTTAGCCCATTTGTCCAATAGCATTTGTTTGTAGATGTGTGCACAGATTTCTGGAGTTTCTTTTCTGTTCCATTGGTCTATATGTCAATTTTTTGCTTATACCATGCTGTTTTGATTGTAACTGCCCTGTTCTGTGTCTTGCAGTCTGTCGTTGCGATGCTTTGAGCTTTGTTTATGTATATGTTTTAAATTTGTATTTAACAAATATAAATTTCAAAAGTGCAGCTTTTGGATTATAGAGGCTTTCCCCCCCATAACCTCCCTCCCACCCACAGCCATCCCATCTCCCACCCCCTCTCCCATCCCATTCTTCATCAAGATTCATTTCCAATTAGTTTTATATACAGAAGATCAACTTAATATATACTAAGTAAAGATATCAACAGTTTGCACCCACGCAGATACATAAAGTATAAAGTACTGCTTCAGTACTAGTTTTACCATTAATTCGCATAGTACAACACATGAAGTATAGTGCTCATTAAGAAATGCCACGCATTTACTTTTTTTCCCCCATTTTCTTTTTAATAGGTACAGTAGCATCTTAGGAACATCAGATTACTTGTTAGAACAAGGAAACTGTCTTCCAAAACCTGCCTTACAGACTGTCAGCCAGGATATCTCCTGCACGTGGCCTTTAGGAGAAGGAGACAGGCAAAAAATGCAGCGTTAAGAACACAGTTGCATAGGGAAGCAATGCCTCTCTACATGTTTTCCTCAAACTTCTATTTCAGATCGTTGGGCAGAGAGAGTGCATATTCAGGGAGTTCTAAACCCCTGCCCGAGCCCCCATCACAGACAGAGAGATGCAGTGGTAAAATGGACCAGTATATTACATCCTTAATCCTCACTTTCAGTGGAGACAAGGGTTGCTTAGAGGACTTTTCTCATCACTCTGGTTAACGTGTTTCTGGTTTGGATCAGAAGTGAGCAGAGGGCCTGTGGCATTATGGAAAGGACCTGAGTTGGTGTTAGTCTGAATTGAGGTCAGTCCGTGGCTTGACCTGTTTCTAGGGGAGTTATATGGCATCTTTCATCCTTCTCTGCCTCTTCCTCAAAATGGAGATAATCGTGGTTTCTTCATCTGTTTGTTGTGAAGATAAATAAGTTTAGGTACTTGCGGTAGTACCTGGTACACCAAACGTTCTGTTTATGTATTCTTTGTTCTTATTAAAAATGTGGATGTGTGTGCAGGAAAGGGCGTGATTGTGGGGAGCAGCTGGGGGGAACTGTGGCCCGATACTCTGTTTTCTCTTTAGCGCCAGTTTGTCTTAACCTGTGGGCAAGTGCATGTGTTGAGGAAAGTAACAGGACAGCCCTTATGG